ACGAGTCAGACGCAGAGAGGACTGAAGTGGAAAGGAGAAGCGTCATCTTCCCAGATGCAGTGATCGATCACACAGCACAAAGGTCCAAACCCAGTGAAGTAATATATAATTACGTTTAAATGCTGGGTCAGTTTGCTCAACTCACTTTCCAATCCAACCTTGGCGATAAGCTACCAGTCTCGTGTTGGTTCAAAATTTGTGAACTTTGTGTGGGTCTGTGTTCTTGTATATAGGGAGTCCCCCTACTTCACCTACTGTTTAGGGAAGACCTGGACTGATGTCATTCTGTTATGTGTTACTACGGTGTTACTTTGATGTACACAAATATGTCATAATCCGTGTGTGTTGTATTTCCTGTGTTACCGGCACCTTGCATTACTGGGCTACATTCCTGCTTCTATAAATAGTATATATAAATGTTGTGTGTCATTACCATTATTTGTGCATGGGCTGCAGTGTGGTTGGATTCTGGTTATGGATGGCTCGACGTACACGGTGTCAATAACGACAGACCCCCTGCCATCCGAAGCAACTCATTCCCTGGTGGTCTTCGTCAAATTTTCCCCTTCTCAAACTCTCCACAACAGCTTATCGAGCAAGGCGTGCCTAGTGGGGAAATTTTCGCAGTTCCCCGTATTACGACGGCGTCAGTCGTGTGTTTCTACTGTCTGGTCAAACTAGCCTAGTACCGGATTCAATCAAGTTGATATGCAGCACTCAGGGTCGATGTGCGAAAACGGCGCGGTAAACAGCCACCTGTTTGAGTTTTTGTCTCTGCGGCGAATCCAACGTGACTCACCCCGGGGTTGCTTTTCACTTCTCCGTCACGACGGCGGAGAATGCAACCCGAGTTCTTCATACGGGGGTGATATCTACGCAACCGCAGGGGCTCCTCGCGATCGTTGAAGAGGAAACGGTGCGGGAGGCGTGTCGTGACCCTGAGCGGAGTGACCCCCAGATCAATACAGGCTCAGGTCGTTAACCTTGGGACCCGCCCATGGAGTCGAGTGCAACACCGCCCATTTGTCGTCACACAGATACACCGGCCCCACGGGCATGGGAATAAGTACGAGAGATCTATCGGCAGTAATAGCTATGCTAATGCTCAAATCAAGCATTGATTCATTGTCAAGACAAAATGGCGCAGTACCCTGTTAATTAATTGGTGTTACTCAGCCTCAGCAGTGTGCAGGGTGTTACTCCAATACAAGGTATGCTGATCATGCAGGTGTTTTTCCGTTTGACAATTCCCGTTTAAGTCATTCCTCGGAACAAGGACTCAACAACTCAGTCAGTGTGCAAGGTGGTTAATCCAATGAAGTACTGCTGATCTGTGCAGGTTGGTTTTTCTTCCGGATTTGAACAAAATCCTCTGGGTTATGGGGTCATGGGTCCTCGGACAAGGACTTTCCATATGTATTACTAATTGGTTTATAAGGATATTTGTAAACCTTGTCTAATAGGTCCTCGAGGAGCTTTCGCTAGGAGGCCATTTAAAGGAGACAAGAAAGACGTGTCATTGTCAAGAGCTCGCTCTCAGTTGCCATTTTGGTGCCGGAAATCAAAAAAAAGATTGAAAAAAAAGGGCGTGTTTGTGAAGGGATGGAGCTCACCAATCACTACTTCAAGACGGTAAACTTTACAACTAGATTAAGTATTATCTAACTAGTCATCACACAACCCCTGCGACTCTTCTTTATGATGATAGCATGTATCCACAACCTACAATGTACTATTTCTGCTCATGTTTTGTATGGTAAACCTTGTCATACAACTAGCAAAGTATTGTTCTACATAGTGTTAGCTGAACATACATACACCCTATATACAACCTCTCGGTATGCAATGAGTGATGTATTTATCCTCTAATCGAGTTGGACATACTATAGTAATGGATGAGACTCGACAATCTGCTATATACTTTCTCTCGTCCTCTGTCACTATGTCTGTCTACCCGGTCACCGTACCACCGTGTCTCCATCCTCTCACACCACCACTCTGTTTCCACAAGAAACAGTTCGTGCATCATTTGACCCCTGACTTCACTATACGGACATTCTTCGGTCCCATGTGGGGTCGGATTAAGGGGTTCCACTGTATAATACTCAGACACCTCACGAAAGGACACTTTCTTCTGTTCCCAGAATTGGTGTCACAATTAAGAGTGGTTCCACTCAGTACACCTCGCTAATCTGGACACTTTCTTCTCTTCTGTCCCAGTGGGTGGCCGATTGATTAGAGTAGGTTCATGTAGTTGACAGAATTTTTGTACCGCACTAATGTCCAGATCAACTATGAAACCGTTGGAAGCAACCGACCCAACTGCATTATCCAATCGCCCCGAGTGCAAGCTGACCATAAGTGGGGTGGCGAGTGCAGAAGAACCGAGAGCAGCTGCCTTCAGACCTGCACACTGCTAGATGATATAACGTCACTGGCGTCGCCTCAGAAGAAGAGTCTGGTGCACGAGAGCTACTTTCATCTGCACTCAAGATGCAGTCAAGGTATTGCGGAGTAAGGTGGTACGATGACACAGGTTATCCAGCATCATGCCCATTCATTTGAGATTTCACAAACACATTGAATGCTTGCACATAATATCCCATATTAGTCTGCCACTCCTTATTAACCATCACATAAGCACTGATTCTCTATATATGCAATTCCCTTGACACCAAAAGTGCCAGATCTTACCAATTTTTACTTCTCTAGCTGGCAAAAATCTTAATGATGCGTATCAAGGTGTTATAAACAACCATACTAGGACAATATTATTAGACATTTGTTGAATCTAGCTCTAATTATGGGCATTTAGCCAGTCACTAGGTAATTATGATGTAATAGAAGGGATTACTATATATAATTGTGACCCATGCTAATGTGTGGTATTAGCAACACAATTCCAGACGTATATTATTTCGTGAGGACCCCATTTATACTTTCCCCTTCATCTTCTCGCGCTCTCTCTCTCTTCCACTATAATTATATTACAGGAAATGAACTAAAGGCTGGCATTTGGTAAAAAGAAGCAACACATCTGAATTTCACCTCTTCCTAAGCTACCATTGAATGTGTACATAATTATCAGATACACGTGTGTGTGTGATTCACTTGTAAAAGACACTAAAAATTATTTTTACAAAAGCACTAAAATGTATTACTCATCTGAAAAATCATTCATAATATTATGTGTATAAACCTGTGAGATGTCGCAAACTTACGTACCCACTTCTGTCGCAAATTGAAAATAAAAAGACCAATTAAAAGAAGGTGCAGTAACACATAAAAATGATGGAAATAGCAGTTTTGCCATTGTAGCCGAACAGTTGGACCTTTTCCTCAAAAAATGGCAGCTGCAACTCTTCATAAGCAGTCAATCTTCGTCACTGTCTTCGGCCTCTTGGAATAGTGGCTTTGGTTGAGTCCTGCACGTCAGACGATGTCATTGACATGCTACTATTTCAAGACACAGTATGTTATAAATATAGACATCTACATACAGATGGAGGCCTACGAAAATAATCAATGATGTAATTGATAGCTAACTGACTTACCCCTGTGCCTGATTATAAATAGATTCCATCCTGCTCTAATAATAATCACTCACCCCATATAAGCAGGTGCGATCCAAAACGGATTCTCTTTAGCTGACTGTATATAGAGCAAAAGGTCAAACTAATACAGCATTCTGACCAGAAAAGAAGTTCACGAATTGTGCTGTGTAAACTGTTCTTGGGGAAAGAAAAGGTGTCCTTATTAGAGAGGTGTCCTCATTTCAAGGGTGTCCTTAGAGAGGGGTTCCATTGTACTGCGATGTCCCTAGTGTGTCAAGGCATGCAAGAACTGTTCTTGGGTGAAACAAAAGGTGTCCTTATTAGAGACGTGTCATCATTTCAAGGATGTCCTTAGAGACGCGTCCTCATTTCAGGGGTGTCCTTAGAGAGGGGTTCCGCTGTACTCACTCACTTTGTCATATTTGAGAAGAGCTTCTCTGGGATCTTCATCGAGATCCACATTCTCGACAGCTCGGATTTTCCTCACGTAAGAACCGAGGGAACTACCTGTGCCTATTCTACCTCCAACACCTTTTGGTGGAAAGGGAGAGGAGGGAGGGAGAGGAGAGGAGTGAAGGAGGGAGGGAAGGAGGGAGAGGAGGGAGGGAGAGGAGGGAGGGAGGGAGGATATGAGGGACGAGCGGAGTGAGGCGTAGTTCTATGATTTGAGTGAGAGGAGCATTTGCGAGAAGGGAGGGAGGGGTCGGGAGGAGAGCAGGGTGAAAAAATGATAGTAGCAGTAGACTGACTTGCACAGAGAGACAGACAGACTACTAACTCTAACCCTCACTGCACATGCGCATCGAGGGTAAATAAGCCAAGCAAATAGTATTTGAAATTTGCCCTTGTCTGTCACTAAAACAGGTATAATAGTGCAGACAGACCTTTTCCAGGGGCGGGAGTTTCTGGTTTGTGAGACAGTTTTGGATCGGCTCTCTCCTTCTCTCTCCGTCTCTTCATGCTCTTCGGCTGGTCTTCCCGGAACAGAGGGAGGGCATGTGCTGTCGTGTGTGAGAGAGAGAGAAACAGAATCTCGCGTGAAAACCTGTTTGCTAAATCGGGAGGATCAGAGGTAATGGAGCCATTAGACGAAGTGTTGAGCCATGGTTAGTAGTAGACTTTGATGTCCTAAGGAACGTTTCTGTTTGAATTTCTGATCTGCACGTCCGCTTACAATAACGGACCGCGTAGACGCGGTTGACGTGTAGGCCACCTGGGTTCTCTTTAATAAGACCCTGTGGCGCCGTTTCCCCGCGCAACCCGCGCACGCGTAAATACAAATGCACGTCAATTGGAGTACGTACTAAACAAGTTAGGCATATTTTGTCCGTCGAAATGTACGCGTCTTAGAAGCCCTCGCGTCCTTTACATAGCGTCGCTACACTCAGAACGTTACAACACACGTGTCCCCGGGCTTCTAACACGCATAGATTTCAAGGACTCGATGTCTAACTATTTTACCAATTGGTTGTTATCTCACGTGTTATGATGGGGCCGCTGATTTCACTGTGAACCATGTCTTCAATTCTCTGGACTTTCTTCTTTACCACACACAGCTTGGCTCCCCTGGGGTAAGGAAGGGAAGTGTCGAGATATCAACGATAGTGCAGCGATTGCGGGGAAAGTCGAGAATGTCAGCGATTGGGGAAAGAGGTTTTTTAGCAAGATAGGAGGGGAAAAACAAAGTATGGAGTGAGATATGTGGAAGGACAAGAGGCGTATGGAACAGCTACAGAACCCACAATAATAAGTTTTACAACTAACGCGTGAAAAAATTTCTCTCTCTGTTTGGTTGCTACCTGATGCTATATCGAGGACTGAAGAAGACGTGAACCTTTCCGTTGCCAAGGCCAACGACAATCTGGTTCAGCTTTGGATGCCAGTAGCAACGAATCACACTCTTTAGATAACAGAGATATAATTCATGTTGAAAGGAGCCAAAGAAAGAGATGGAAAGACTTTAGATGGAAAAATATGAAATGCTAGGGAAGAGAGAGAAGGACAAGAGAAATCTAAATTGAGGCGAGAGAGAGAGAGAGAGAGAGAGAGAGAAAATGAAAAGAAATGGAAGAAACGGCGAAACAAAAAGAGAGAGAAGACAAGTAGACGAAGAGAAGGAGACAAGTGGAGGAGAGGTGAGGAACTCACACAGTCTGCCACTGGTAGAGAGTTAACTTTATTCAGTTCTCTGTCAAAGAATACCAGTTCACCTTTTCCCTGAACCACACAGAAGACGAAGAGCACGTGGCATAAATTATGAACTACAAGTGACGATAGAGGGGCAGGCTTGCAAAATCATATTTTACCTGGTCTTTCCTGACTGATGTTCCCGTGACGATAATCTTCTCATCAGGACTAAATGCACAGTCAGTTCTACAAAAAGAAAGACAGAGTTGTGCCACAGTATATACCTTATATTGTTGTGGGTGTTGCACACTACATATGCAGCTGAGCTGCCCTGGTAGCTCAGTTGGTAGAGCACTCGCCTAGACTGCAGAGTGTCGTGGGTTCGAATCCCACCCAGGGCAGCTCTTCTTCTTCTTTTCTTTGAAAAGAAAGAGCTGTCCTGGGTGTAGTTGACTTGTTTGCCTTGCCTTGCCTTTCTACCTCGTTACCAAGTTGTTGAGACATGCATACTTGGTGATGATTCTATTTGTCTTACACCGAGAAAAAGTTTTGCAATCCAGTTGCAACGTTGACGGGCCTCTTGAACGATCGAATGTCCCAAACTTTCAATGTGTCAATCACCTTTGAGGAACAAAAATAGACGCAATTTTCTATAATGAATAGTTATTTTTAGAGCGACCTCCCTGGAGACGAGTGTCTGGTTGTCATGGGACATGGTGATGCAAGACGTCTCGGTGCCTGGAGTATGAGCAGTGTACTGATGTAGAGATGATCTAGTCTAGAGAGGGGGGGAGAGAGAGAGAGGAAGGGGAATTGATCTTCCAGAGGAAGGAAAAGTTGCCGAGCACACCAATTTGTTCATGATCGATCATGCAGGTTTCTATACCGATTGTATTGTAACTAAGTACTACATGTACATACAGTCAAGATAACAGTGGTTTGCAAAAACCCTTATGGTTGACGGATAATTTGACAGCTCTGCAAAGAAAAGAGCTAAACACGAGATCTCCCAGCCTCACCATCTATCTCCTTCGTGACTTACAAAAGGTCCGCTGCTCTTCCACAGCTGTATGCTACCGTCGACCAGCCCAGCTGCTATCATCTTTCCATCTTTACTGAAGGTGCACGTGGAAATGGCGGACTTTCTCCCCTTCTTGTCCCTCCCCTTGATCACGTTCAGCTGCTTCTCCTTTTCATTCACGTCCCAAAGTCTCAGGGTGCTGGTGGGTTGATCACGTGATGGTCACGTGACCTCATTAATTATTCATGAGCTGACCAGTCATTGGAGCAGGTAAGGAAGGTTTCCTTGATCTTTGGGTGCCAGCAGGCACAGTTTATCATGGAAACATGCCCCTGAGAAAAGGCAGATGTGTAAGTAGAACTACCTAGTTACCACAAATACATTTAATGTCATAAATAATGATTCTACAAGGGACGTTAATATGCATTCACTGAACATCACCACTGTACGTAGGCTCCAAATTGTAGAATGCTGCTACATCTATCTGATGCCCAAATTAATGTCTAAGCTAATCCCCTCCCTCCCTCCACTTAACAAGGAAAAAAACTGTGCATCATTGTTGCAAATAGAAATTGAAGGGTTTTTTACGCTGAAACTTTTAAAGGGCCAACATACACATCATACCTACCAACCATCCCACTTGGTAGGTATGCCACAGTGTAGCCGAACGCACCTCTAATGTAGGGGTATAATATAATCATACCCATAAATTAAATTGCATAGTAAAGCTGCACTGTTTATATACTTTCTTTTAAACCTTTGTATTAGTCATGTCAATGATGTACTGCCAGCCCTTAGGACACTGCATCTTATTGTGACCATCTCTGTCCAACACCTTCGCCTAGAAAATCAGGGGGAAAGGGGTTAACGGGGAAACAGTTTTAATCCTTTCGTGCCTACTTGTGCACTTCCGGACGCCACAAGAATTGCGTCTCCAGTGATGCTGTACTGCAGTGTACATATCCGATGACTGGAGAGAAAAGGAAATAGAGAAAAATGACCACATATTTATTGGAGAGTAAATTTTTTTCGTGAGTTCAATAAATAAAGTTCAATTGTGAAATCAAATAGTGTATATATACATCTAGTAAAATTGTCAGTGAATAATGAGTCACCTCTCACAGGGAGTGATGGAGCGAAATGATTTGAGTCTTGAGTCCATTCCGGCAAAGTCCCAGAGCCGTACCGTGTAGTCATAGCCACCAGATATGACTCTGGCTCCACTGGGATCCATGCCCAGAGCTGATACCTGTAGGAATGGGGGGAGAGGAGGAAGGAGAAAAGAGATAGTGAAACCTCCAAATAGTGGAAATGTGTAGTTTAATTGTCCTTTATAGGGAAGATGTCCTGTCTTTAGATGTTAACAATGTACTATAAAGTGAACGTTTAGGAAGGGCAATGAAGTACATCTGTTGCTAATGAACTCCAACATAAAACGATGTCGCAGTAAAGAAGTTGGTTCTAAATGTTTAGGGGCTCTGCATTACAAGGACGCATCTCAATTCTCTCTCTGCGTGTCATTTGTGTTTTACTCTAGAAAGTATATACCAAACTCTAATGAAGAGCTCACTGGTTTATCTCCATGTTCCAGTTTCACTTCATGTGACAAGGGAAATGAATGCAAGAAATCCTATTAAAACGAGAAAACAATTAATTTCAACTGCCTAAATTTTACATACCGAATTATCTTCTTCATCGTCCTCCTCACTCTCCCCCTCTTCGGACCTCTCGGGCTGAGACCCACTCCCCCCTGCCCCGTACCCGGGTGGGAGTGGCGGACCGATGATGTCATCGTCGTCATCGCTACTATCACCACTCCTCATCTCCCCACCCTCACCCACTCCCTCCGCACCTCCTGTCTCCACACCTTTCTTGACTGCAAATACCAAGATCAAAGTAAAGGAAAACCTCTGAATAATGCACACCTTGGGGTCATTGAAAGTGTCCATTATTAAGAAGCGTTCCCTTATTCTGAGGTAATGTTAAATACTTCTGAAGGCTGAGAAACACGATGGTGGTAGGAATCTGAATATCCTTTTACAGAGGCCCTTTTCCACAGGTTTCTCATATTTCTTCGAATATAAACTCTTTCCGGGCAACTAAGATTTAAATCAAGCTGTTTTATAACGTACTTGCCACGCTCTGTGTGTACTCCTGTGCAGAGCGACGCGTCTCCGCAAACATCTTTTCCACGTCGAAATGCATGGCCGCCTTCTTCCCTACGGGGGGGCAGCATTAAACGAATAAGACTCACGCTGCTCACTTACCGAACCCCGAGAATCCCATAACGGACTCAATGGTCTGCTTCTCTGCGTCGTCTTCTTCTGCCATTCCGTTCCCTTTTCACAAGCCAGCAGCAATTCTAATTAATGCGCAGCGTTATGGTGCGCTTCTAATGGAAATATTGCAACAAACAAGGCAGCAAAGGGAAGAGTTTTGTGGAGACACGAGCAAACCAGAGAGCGGTCCCGGACGCCATGGACCGTGTTTTAGCGAGAGTCCCGCTCCCGTTTCACCTCCTACTCCTGCAAGTGCTCGTGTGGACGAGGATTGTCGGCGTCACTCACTGGAAACTACAGGAAAACAATATCGTTCCGGCCAGCGCGGCGCCTCCGCCGTCTACTAGCGACGCCGCTAGTGCTAGAGAAGTCGACGATTTGTTGTGGTCCAGCGTATCCGGAGAAGATCCGGAGTTTTCCGTGCTCATGAAACGGACTACAGGCTCCGGGGGACATTCTCACGGTGGCGGGGGTCTGGGGGCTATTGCTGGGGGTTCAGTGATGCAGGGGGCTAGAACTTGTGGCCAGAAATCCTGCCCCCCGCGTCGTGTATCCCTCAACAAGGCCGGAGACTGTTCGTCTAAATCAGGTGGAACAGATTCGAGCCACGACTCGTCGTCTGGACGATGTTCCTCCCCGGAGAAGACGGCTTCATCAAAGACGTCGGCTCCACGGAATCCAAATGGATCAGGACCTATGTAAGGATCATTCTGTCATATATTATCTGTATAGTCAAAAATTTTAAAGGGAATGTGGCAGCATGAATGTAGAAACTATTACTGAAAATGAAAACTTTAATTTTAATTGCATTCTTGCATTGCGCCTCGTGCTGTATGAGTCTCTCGACCACACCCCTCGTTCTCATAAATCACGTATAGAACTTAGCCCTTGTGTACCTGACAAGGGAATGTGTCAGAAGAAGGTTTTCTCCTTTCACAAGCTTCACATTACACCACTATCTTTTTCAGGTCAGTCAGAGCAATGCGAGAGGCCCAGCCAATGATCCTCAGCTGTGGAGACCCAGTCGAATCGACAGACTACGACTTTCTCGAGGGAATAGCTCGAAGACACGAACACCCGTCTTACCCTGAGCCAGAAGTGGCCATGATCTTCAAGAGATCTGAGGCCGACACGTCAGTCGATCTGTTCGAAGTTGAACTAGCGCTTCGCAGAGCTTATCAAGAGGTACATACATACAGATAATTATACTGCTGCATAATACTAACTAAAGGAAAAATATGCGTTTTGAATGGAATTGTGGCTGTTGACCTTTTGCCAATCTCATCCCCAGAACCCAGAATCACTGACGGTGTTGAATCAAATTGGCAACTTCTGGAGGATCAAGGGCAACACGCAGCTGGCCATCGAGTGTTTCAGAACGGCTCTCTCACTCTCTCCCAATCATCCCGACCTCCTTCTCAACCTCGCCCGCGTTCTCTTCAACCTACAGTTCATGGAAGATGCCGTCTACCTCGCGAAACGCTCCCTACACATGAAATCGTCCGAAACACACGCGTGGCTGCAATACTTCACACTAGGGGAGGTTTACAAAGCTCTGGAGAAGTACGAAGAGGCCGCTTTTTATTTTTTGAAGAGTTTGGAGCTTAACCCTAGTCTTCAAGTGGCCGAAGTGCACCTGCGTGAGTTAGGGCTGGAGGAACAGACGTCAATGAATATCTACACACTGCTCATCATACTGGCTCTGATAGGGATAGTGTTGGTGGTACTGTACTACCTACTGGTGGCTGTGAGTGGAGCTAAAGTCGGTAGCTCCCTCTCAAAAAGATGAAAAAATTTAATTATTTCCTCAATCAATTCAGTCAAAATCTTGCATGAAAGGCAATAGAAGGTTGGGAAAGCCTGATTTAGAATGGAGAAAGCTATGGAAAGATACAATAAGAAAGAGGTGTGATTTGAAAATAGGGAAATTTACTAGTGTCTAAAAACTTTTTGTGTGACATAATTAGGGGTGATAAAAAGCATAAAGTATGTAGCTGAAGTGGGTTAAGTGTTAGTTTGTGATGTTTGGGATAGTGATGGTGGAGATTGTGAGGGAGGAGAGACTGGTGCAGGTGGGGGCTGGGAGGGAGGAGGTGGGGAGTGAGGAGGGGAAGAAGAGGGAGCAGATGTGTGGTGACGGTAGAGAATAGGAGAGGGGTGCCCTCTTGGCGAGGTCAGCGTGCTGTTCTCTTGTTCAAGTAGCTGGTTCTCCCTCTGCACTCTGTCATTGCTCAGTCTCAGCTGATGGATCTCGTTTTTATGGTCACTTATGACCCTCTCCTGCTCATTGATCCTGCACACAACAGCATGGCAAAGACACTTCAATGTAGAAGACAAACACCACCAAGCTAAGAGCACTTCACCTATCCTTTCTCAGAGCACACTTGGCAAGCAGAGCAGATATGCTAACTGTGCACATGGAATAGTACAGTAGGCATGCCCAGCTTGCACACACAACCAGGCGTTAGTAAACCAGCAGGCCCACGGGCACATTAGCACAGCTTACTGAGACACCAAGGACACATTGTTCTAGTGACTAAATGTAGTGGAACTGTGCTGAATCTCCATGCTCACTTGCACCGGAGGTTAGTGTTGGCTGCCAGTTGTATCTTGTGCTCAGCAGCTGCCTTTTCCCTCCACCTTGCCTCGGCCTCTAGCTGTCTCCTGGCACTCTCCAGGTCCTCACAGAGCCTCACCACCTCCCACTCCAGACCCAGCTTCTTACGGTGCTGCTTCTCTCTAGAGCCAGAAAAAGATGTGAAAAGTTGCTGGAAGCTACACTGAATACTATAATTATAGAAAAGGGTGACCGAGAAACGTATAATGAAAGATGCACAAGAGAAATGGTTAAGAGGCTATATAATTAGGACTACCGTTATATTATATAAAACATTAGTCCTAATTATTGGTGGCCCCTTGATGCATATCAGTGATTCAGTGGTCATCCAATAATAATAATAATACATCAAGAGTCAAAATTAATGGTTGACCATTAAACAGTGTTTGCCATACTAAAGGGAGTAGAAAAACTCACCTGTATGAACTCAACCTCTCCTGGTCGTGTATTTTCTTTTCAGCTCGTCTCCTGCCCTGTCTCGCCAGGCCGTCTCTCCATTCCTCCATCCCTGCCATCTGCTGACTGTAAACCTGCTGAACCAGAGCCAGCTCCTTGTGCAGCTGCTCCTTCTCATACTCCAACCTCTTTATCTGACACACAAAGCATAAAGATCACTTTAGCGCCTTCTCAATGAAAAGCACTAAAGTGCAAACCCTCGGCACACTATATAGAAATGTGGAACCCATACACAAGTGTGGCACTATCACAATTGATGGTCTTGACCATGCATCAAAAAGAACAGCATGTTATGCACTATTTCCATGGAATAGGTTGAAAAGTGGCCAGCCCCATCTCTGTTTGAGGCCAAAAAGATATAAGGTTTAAAAATTGCCAACCTTTCATCTCTCTATTAATTTTCGTATTACCTGTGGATTGTTTAGTGAAAAAAAAACCTAGTGCAATGCCGAACTGTACGCTGCCCTTTGAGAAACGTGGGTCAGTGGTAGATTTGTGGGTAAGGGGAGGAACCAGAACTGTTCCCAGCCAATGCTCTGGACCACCTGACACTTTAGTGCGGGATCGAGGATTCGAACCAGGCACCTATGGTGTCAGTCCCCACGACTCTAACCACCTAGCCACTCGGGCTGGCCTTGAGAAGTGATGAAAAAACGTTCCGTATATACCAACACTCCTTATTACATCATTGCAAAAAAAGGCGTACACACCCGGGATCGAACCAGGGACCTCACGATCAAGAGGGGGGAGTGCTTATCCATCAGACCTGCATTACTTGAATGGGAACAGTGTAAATGAAAAGCACTAAAGTGCAAACCCTCGGCGAAGTAGCACGCAGAGAGTCTGACACGGGCTAGCTACAGTAGTAGATAGCACGCGAGAGTCGATACACGCCATTCGTTGTGACTTCTTGTGCCTTCAAGATAGACAGCGCAAGCGGACCCGGTGGAGAGGTGCCTGTGCTAAATATAAGCGCATGCGCATTATCCGCCAGACTACAGTACCCTCGCTGCGCATGCGCGCCGAGGGTAATTACTGGGAACAGTATAATATACCCACACAAATTGCCACACTAAGGTAAATGGTACACATTGGAGAACTCGTTTAAAATCATTTAAAATTTAATGTTTAGAAGCGTGTTCTCATGCTTTTTACCAGAAAAATCCTTGAGGACATAAATTGAGAATCAGTTTTCTTCGCATTATTTTGGGTACAGAGGCTGTTGGTGGTACAAGAAAAACAAAAGGTTTCCTGCCAGAAGTGTGTGTGTACCTGTTCTTCGGCCAGTCTGACGTGGTGTTCCTTTGCCTGCAGAGAGCGAGCAGAGCTGGTCATTTCGGTCTCCTTCTCCCTCAACTCCTTCTCCATTTCCCCTCTCTCCTCCTCCATTCTCCTCGCCCTCTCCACCTCTCTCTCCAACTTCTGCTCCTGAACCATTCCCTTCACCTGCAACGAGATGGATGGACTGCGGAACCCTTCTCTATAAGGACACCTCTGAAATCTCTTTTAAGGACACCTTTTCTTTCCCTGAGAGCAGTTCTTCCATGCATTCAATAAAGGCACCTCTAGTATGAACACTTTCATCTCTCAAACTAGTACTCAGGTTAGCTGTAGATAGCCTTTTACTTTTCATTTACTTCTTTCTCATTGAGTTTCTCTTCGATGCTAGCCAGCTCGTGTTGAAGTGACTCTATTTTATGCTCCCCTTCTATCATTGCCTTCTCCTTCACTTGAAGTTCAGCCAATTTCTGCTGAAGTTCCAAAATTTCAGCACTCAATGCTTCTACCTGCATATATTACGTTACAGAAAAATATCTGACGTATTTTACCACAAATTGTTAATTGTGTGTTCACACCATTACAGTTGCCATTGCTGCTTGGGAGATTACCTTCTGTTGGAGCTGCTTCTTCTCTCTCTGCATGGCCTCTTGCTCGGTCTGTATCTTGGCAAGCTTTGAATCTGCTCTCCGCTTTTGCTTCGACATCTGTGATAGAAGTGAAGGAGGGCTATAAGGGACTGCTTCTGACGAAGAAAAAACGGTAGATTTACTAATGTAGGACTCGCTACGAGTCCAGTGGTGTGTAGCTTACTTCAGTCAGTTCTGCCTCTAGTTTCTTCTGAGCACCGAGAGCGGTGGCATTCTTCGTGACCAGCTCCTGTAACTGCTCCCGAAACTGCAAAATATACTTTCCCTCTCACTTGTATATCACTAAGTACAGTAGTACTTAGTATATAGCGATGGGTATGGTTCTTTTACCTATCAGTGTGTATACAAAATAGGGGCAAGTGCAAGAATTAAATACAGTTTCTTTAGTAACATAATTTATTCTAAATTTAGCCCTTATAGCTACTGTTAATCAAAATCGAGGAATAGTTTTCTCAAAGTCTATGTGCAATATAACCTTGGCAGAGGTTCCTTGCTCGTCGGTGAGCTGTTGCTGGAGGTTGACAGTGCTACTCTTCTCCCTGTCCAGGAGACTCTCCGACTCGGAACACATTTTCTCCGTCTCACTCAGTCTGGCTTTAGTCACCTCTAGCTCCTGGTGTAGTGAAAGGGTACAGGAAAAGTATATACACCTCTCTATAGAGGGCACTCGGTTTTGCCCCATACTAATACATTATACTCGATGTCAACAAGATGTTCCTTTATTCATTGTGGCATGTTTATTGTGAGTATTCCGTCTTACTCGTCTATTAGTATGGGGCAGAGCCATAAGTGTCATATACAAAGCGGTATATTTTATTTGGAGGGTCCGTTTTCGGAGGTTTCACTGTATATGACATCAGGTTTTCGTGGACCAATGAGCAGAGCTGGTAGGCTACTCATATCTACCTGTTCCCTGGACTGGAGTTCTTGCTGGGTGTGAGAGAGTGTGGCAGACAGCTTCTTTAGCTGATTACCGAGCTCTTCTCTCTCTTGCTGTTTCTGGGCTTCTACAGTCGATAGCTTCTGTCGCAGCGTCTGAATCTGTTCGCTGAACTTTCTCTCGGTGTGGCCCAGCTGGTCAGCTCTCTCTGAGGAATCTTGGCTTGCCTGTGTCAGGCGTTGCTCCAACATCTCCACTTTCGTCTTCAGCTCCTCCACTGCTCTCTGTGATGATTTCTGCAGTGCAATGACAGACAGTTAACATGGTAGGACCCAGTGCAATAGTTCGATCTTATTATTATACTGCCACCTTCATTTTAAGTTTACTTTTTTGTCCTCTTTTTCTGCCAGTGCTGTAGCGAGTCTCTGCTCTGCTGTGTCCAGTTTGTCCTGTACTGTTTTCATCTCTAGCTTGGCTCTCTCACCCGCCGCTGCCAGCTCCTGCCTCGTGTTCTCCAGCTCTCCACACATGGTAGACACTGCTCCCTCAAGGGCTGACTGCGTAGAGGAAAGAAACAAGCGTTTCAACTCCCTAGAATTGATACTAGTCTAGGCCTGAGTTTGCTTGCTTCCTGACAGATCTACAATTAAGATCATCTCTTCTTTTGAGCAGACCTTTTCTTCTGTTGTGTGAGAGATGTTTTGCTGGAGCGTGGAAAGCTCAGCCTCTACAGCTGCCAGTCTCTCTCTGCCTGTTTGAACCTCCTGTTGCAGTGAATCGATTTTCCCATGCTTACCTGTTGATGCAAACTTAGTAAATTAATTGTGGGTTAGCATGTGTTGCTCACGTTTGCATATCTCTTTCTGCTCCTTTACTTCAGCAGTTAATCTGGCTGTGTCCTCTGACTTTTCTGTAGCCTACAGAAGTATAATACAATCTATAGAGTCATCCTCTAAGTCCCACAACATACATCATAAACGTGTCTTACCTTTTGCACTAAAGAGTGATTCTCAGCTTCTCTCTCCTGAAGCTTTAGTCTTAAGTCTTTCTCAATCCTCCTCAGAACCTCCTCTGCTCCTGTTGCCTTGGTGTTAGCCAGAACCTATTTACACAGCAACACATTAGGGAGAATAGAAGAAAGAAGAGAAGAGAAAAGTATTATCACTTGCAGCTTCCCTTCTATATACCATGCATACAGACCATGAAATAAGTCATCTCCAGCCAGGACTTCAGCTAAAGAGTAACGGGTGTTGCATTTGTATGTATACCATGTTCTGAAGCTCTGCCTTTAGTTTATCAATCTTCTGTTGTAATGTCAGGTTCTCTGCTTCTGCTGATGCTAACTGCTGCTCCAGCTCAGAAGATGACTTCTTTTTCTCCTCCCTCAAACTCTGTCCAGTTATATATATACACAAAAGCTGGTCCATTTACTAGATGCAATCCGATGCTTACCCTTGCCTTCATCTGTGATCTCTGCACCTCAGAGCGAAGCTGGTCCTTTGCATCTCTCTCTGTCCTCAACTCATGCTGCAGCTATATATTATCGATGTGTGCATATAGTTAATCTTTGTGCTGTGCAAGTTTAAGGTTTATGCTATACCTTCTGGTGCTGCTCAATCCTCTCATCCAACTTTTCAGAGAGTGTTCTCTTGTCCATATCCAGTGTTGAAACCCTGTCCTCCAATTCCTTGATCTACACATTGCACAAGTGTACACACTATCATGGCCTTTACCAATGTTTGCCACAAACCTTTGTATGGTTTGCCTCCTGCTCTGTTGTCACTTGTTGTTTCCCAGTCTCCATGAACTGCTCCATCTCCAGCAGTCTCACTTGGTACCCTCCAACCTCTTCCTGGATTCTCTTCAGCTGCTGCGAGAGACTTTCCTTATCCAACTGAAGCCCCTTTTCTACCTCTCTCGACTCCTGCAGCTCTCTGGTGACTGCAGCTAGCTCTCCCTCCCGCTCCTCTTTCTGCCGCGCCAGAGAAGTGCTCTCTTTGTGCAGTCGATTACGCATCGTGTTCTGGTTCTCTTCTTTCAAACTGAGCTGCCTCTTTAGCTCCCTGTTCTCTTCCTGAGCTTCCTGCTCCTCTTTAATGAGTTTCTGTAGGGTTTGGTGAGTGTTTTGGTTCTCCAGTTCCTTTTCGTGAAGGTCTCGTTGCAGACTATGAACCTGCTGCAAAGTAGTCTCCAACTTTTCTTTGACCTCTTCCAGTTCTCCATGAGCGGTTTCTAGCTCTTGCCTCAACTGCTCTATGTTACGCTTGTCTTTGTCGGTCACCTTTCTCAGTTTCTCCGCGTGGGCTTGTTGCTCTGCAGAGAGAGATTTCTCCAGCTCGTTGCACTTTTCCTTGAGTTGGTTGTGGGTAGTGAGTGCGACCGTATCACGACGTGTCTCCTGAATCTCGCCCTCTTTCTGCTTGATGCTTCTCCTGAGGCTGACATTCTCTCTGTGGACCTTTGTCTGAGTGGCTGTCATGCTCTCGAGTTTCCCCGTGAGCATCTTCATGTCTCCCCTCATCTTTTCCAACTGCTCACTTAGTCTTTGTGGACGTAAAGAGCAAGTTATTACACAACAGAGAGATTGTGTGGTATATATACTATAAGCTTGAACTTCCTAGTGTCCTGTCAAACTAAGCTTCCCAACATGCTCTTCACACATGTTCACGCTTTAAAGTTCAATAATCAGTGACAACTTACTTACTGCTTACCCTTTGTTGGCATCTTCGCAGGACTTAAGTCTGAAGAAGTAAAGAAAGACCAGCTGATCTCAATGACACAGAGAGTGAGACTTTGTCGGGCTTACTTCTTTTGTGATGCCTCAAGCTGTCCCTGTAACCGCTTCTCCTGCAGAAAGTCAAAATGTATGCCTAGATATAAGGACTATGCTACGTAGTATTATGTGGCAATTGATAGAATTGCGCCCTACCTTTCTGTCACTACCCATACTGGCTGTTTTAAGGCCACTCAATTGCTTTTTCAGAACCTGTAACTCTGTTTCCAACTGCTCTTTTTTGTGCGTTAGATTCTTTTTCTCTTTCACTAGCTGGCCGATGGTCAATTCCTGGCTCTCCATATCGTTCACAAGTCTCTCCACAGATAATTTGAGAGTGTCACCTCGGTCTTTTGAGTTGACGAGTAATTGATGGTGGTGAACCCCTCCTCGTTCCATTAGTAATTGGACTATGGCCTGGTTCCCTGCTTCGAATGCATCTCGTTCTGCCCTGATAGATTCCATCATGGCGTTCAGCTGGGCGTTTTTCTGCTCTGACAGGTCCTGAATTTTGCCGAGCATTTCCTTATATCCTGCCACGTCCTCTTCCCTCTCTTTTTTCAGCTTTCGATGCTGGAAAAATGCAATTAGCTAGCTAAGATAAGGCAGATGATGCTGTTCCTTTGTTAACTATTCACACAAAGAGCGTGAGCTCACCTGTGCTATTTCGTCCCTAAGGGCGCCCTCCGTTCGTTGCAGCTTTCCCCAGACGTGCAGGAGCAGTTTCTGCTGGCCAGCCGTCTCCAGCTCTGGTCCGTCTGCGGAGACCGCTGCGCGGATCGTCCGCACTCTCCCATCTTCACTCGGATCCTGCGAAAACTGACCTGCTGAGACCGAATGAGGAAGAGAACACTTACAGTCATGGCTTTACTGCAAAGAAGAGAGCTAAAATGGGGTGGGGCAGAAACCTTGCTAGTATTCGCGCATGCGCTAGCAATGAGGGGGTCCAAAACTGGGTGTGGTCGGTGGTCGGAAATGGTTTGTAAATTTCCGTTTACTTCCGCATACCTTTGAAAACAAGATGCGGGAAGAAGCTTCTTCGAGTGGGACACGAAAACCTTGAGCTTCACGCACAAAGCACGGCGTTGTTTCAGCGGAGCGAGATGCAACAATGGCAGCACAGAGAAGCAGATGGCTGTTCCTGCCCCTTTCTTTAGTTCTAATCATCTACATCCGCGACCTTCTGGGGCAGACGAGCGGCAAAGTCGTCGAAGGTAAAACATAGAGGCAGCCTCTTCCCAAGTGTGTGGGTTAAAACGTACATCTCGTTGTATGGGAATGCATGGATGCCGTGCTGTGACTTTTGTAGGAGAAAAGCGCGTGCCTTTTCTCGTCCCTCTGTCTTCAAATGCATGATGTAAGTAGCCGTGGGGCAGAAATAGGGGCGTTGTTGTGGTGCGTACCTACGTGCCATGTGTCGGTGGCGTTCTACCGTAGCCTATACCCCTTTCACGTACTATAGAAACCCCCCATAGAGAACAGTATTGATTGTGTGACTCAACTACATATTGCAAGTATGCTATAACATTGGTTGTCAGTGTTGCTTTCACTCCACTTTGTTTCTTCATGTTCCAGCAAACATTAGAGTGAAGGTCGATGTCCCAGGTGTGCTATCATTCCTTGAGGTAGGTTGTTGTATGCAGTATCATGGGATATATGGCTTACCCGACTCGAATAATATTCTCGTGCGTAAATGTACATTTTAACCAAAAGATGATGGCAGTTAGTTCTTTCTCTTTCTCTCCAGAGATCCTAGCACTATTCTTTTTACTTGAATTATATCTGCACGTGTCAGTTACTAATTGCTGCAAGCTCGGAGTCCACTACTACCTAATATTGTATGCATGTTGCAATTAGAGGATTCCTTACTGAAGCTATACTAAGTGCTCGGTGCCGGTTGTATTTCTATGTCTGCACGTTGTTGTCGTCGTAAGCTTGTGCAGCTATCGACGGGTGCATTATATCCCTGTTCCACTTACTCAGTACACGCCGAGACTTACAGCAAACATAGAGTAACCCTTTTGGGAAATGTGTTCTGGTACTCTTCAAGAAATCTGTATCCCAATTTGTACGCCAGAAAAGGGTAATCCCAAATTAGCTGCTGAACTGAGTAGTGTGTTAGTTAGTAAAAAGATGGTAGATGCTGTATAGTGTGAAAGCTTTTGGGGGAGGGGGGGTTTAGCAATTTGGTAAATTTCGCTGAGATAGCAAATTTTCTTACAAAACACTTCCACAACTGCACACAAGCTGCTATCTTTGGAGAAAGCTAGAATGTTTAGTTGCCACCAAGTCTGCTGTGGGTGTGTTGTGCTGTCCCTTGTAATACAAGATTACAGGACCTGATAAGATTTGAATCAGCTGCTTGTGGTTGAGGCATGAGCTCATAGGTGCAGAAAAGGGACAATTCTCTCTCTCTCTCTCTCTCCAATTTAACTCTCCTATCCCCCCTCTCCCTCTCTCCCTATTCTTCATTCCCTCCATAGTCACAGTTAGACAGCTTCACTTCGCCCATCGTTGAGAGCAAGTGAGTGGAGTAAAATTCCTTTTCTACACATGGCAGGATGTAAAATTTCTGATAAAAGTGTTACTTCCTCCTGGCTCCCCACTTCCTCCCTTCTCCCTCCCTCACCTACCCATTCACTCTCTCTCTCTCTCTCTCTCTCTCTCTCTACCACTACATGCTCACTTTTCCCCTTTCTTCTCTACAATATCACCCCTCTCTCTCTCTCTCTCAGTGACGACCCGATCGAAGGACGACTTCCCTCACCAGTACTGGCATCTGAGCCGCTTACTTTCGACCCTCCCAGCCTCGATTTCGAGGACCAGTAAGCCAACGTTTTCACTTCACTACCACTCACTAATCCAAACAATGCTGCCATACTCTCGGAGCGTTCTTTGCATTTAGTTTCACATTCTTTGTCCCGGGATTATCTTTCCTATTTGTAGTTGTGGCAACTTACACCACCGGTGACATTCCACGGCTCACAGGGCAGCTGTTAATTGAATTCATTTGGCATGCAATTACTGCTTGCTCATGCTACATTGCATCATGCAGACACACCTCTATATAGCCTCACACCTCTATAATTATAGTCTTTCATGTTCGTAATACACTTATAACCGCCTGTAGAGTATGGTTTCTGTGTTTGAAACCTCGGGAAAGAGGCTGCCTTGTTGGTACTTGGTCAAAGGTCTCCGTTATTGGCAAAGTACCGTGGTATTGTGCAACATTCTTTAGCACTTAACCAGCCATGGACGCATACATGTAAATGTGTCCAAAGCCTCCATAAGTCCATAAGAATATATATGGGGGTTATAATACTAGGCAGCTCGTGCGCATGTGCAATCCCACGTGCATCTCACGTGCAATCCCACGTGCGTCATGCCACTGTAGACTGTCTGTAAGTAATACTTTATACATCAATTTCTGCTTATTAAAGAAGATACCCATGGCGTCCAAAGGGTTGGATTAGCAATATAAGTGAAGTCAAACTCGCTCATGTATGGGCTCCCGTCATTTCTTTGACGTACGTACAAAACAACATAAACTTCATAATCAAGAACTCGGAGGTCAAAACTCCCTTCGGCAACTGATTATGTGTACAAATATGCTGAAAGTTCGCCCCCTTTGTAGGTAATCCACAAATTAAGAGGTTACTAGTCCTCCCTATATCTCCTACATGTTTTCCTTCCGTCGGTGTTAAAGCTATATACCATCCAACAGTCTCGAGTAGTAGCTGTTTCTCAACTTTCCATGCGACAGAGAATGAAATCATGATAGGTAGCACCATGGTTTTATTGCTGACACACCCAAAACTTTTGCATGCCATGTTCGCTGCACGAAAACCATGTTTACATGTTTGGTCAATGTTTTCTCCGCAATTCTTTCCTCTCGTCCTCTCTTTTTCTGCCCCTCTCCTTCTTCCTCTCTCCTCTTTACTCCTTCCCCCTCTCTTCCCCCCTCTTCCCCCTCTTTCCCCATCCCCCCCTCCACCTCTCTCTTCCTGCCCCTCCCAAGGAGTGTGGGTATGCCGCAGCTGTTCACAGTCAAAGTCATAAACCCAAGCAGAACGCAGAATCTCCACCTCAACTCAATTTCAGGAGAGTCACACGTCTTCCATCCATCATTCTTCAAGTCAAAGGTTAGTATTATAAATCATCCTCTTCCCGTTGCTTTCTGCTCAAACCCTTATTTTAATTTTCCGCATTCCACAGTCCAAAATTTTTAAAGTGTCAGGAGGCAAAAAGAGAACCGTTTTATGCATGTATATATTACTGTAAATGAGTTTCAATATGGGCACAAGAATTGTAGTAATACTTAAGATTTGTTGGTTTTCTGCCTTTGGGAGTGTGTGGAAGTGGTAGGAATGTGCATTTTCAATATCAACAGCAGATAGTAAAGAGATTATATAGACTGTGATTGAAAATGGAGGCTGCTCATTTAAAGTCCTTAAAATTCCCTGCCATATGTAGTGACGGCGGGTTACCTCTAATCCGGACACCAAATGGGACAGATCCATATTAGTGAGGTGTCCTTATTTCATGGGTTAAATTGCATGCAAGAACTGTTCTTGGAGAAAGAAAAGGTGTCCTTATTAGAGAGGTGTCCTCATTTCAAGGGTGTCCTTAGAGAGGGGTTCCACTGTACTGCGATGTCCCTAGTGTTTCAAGGCATGCAAGAACTGTCCTTGGAGAAAGAAAAGGTGTCCTTATTAGAGACGTGTCCTCATTTCAAGGGTGTCCTTAGAGAGGGGTTCCACTGTACTGCGATGTCCCTAGTGTTTCAAGGCATGCAAGAACTGTCCTTGGAGAAAGAAAAGGTGTCCTTATTAGAGAGGTGTCCTCATTTCAGGGGTGTCCTTATTAGAGAGGTGTCCTCATTTCAGGAGGGCTTCCTAATAGAGAAGGGTTTCACTGTATGTTTCTGTATGATTGTGTGATTGTGTGTGCACGTGGCCACAGGTGGTGAAGGCAGGGGAGGACGAGTGGACTACGTTTGACGTCGTATTTCTCCCGAGGGGTCCCGGTCTAGTCAGAGACACACTCTACATCCACACTTCTCACGGCACCTTTGACTTCAAGGTCAGCCTATTACCAGTAGAACGAATCTAACTCTCCATCGGCGAGCGAATTTGAGATTTCTCTAGTTCAGTGTTTTAACACATATAGTGCCTTATTATTCACTTGGCAGTTGTAGTAAAAAAAGCTTTTTTTGAGGAAAATTTTTGCAGATCTGCGAGGAATTGAAATTTTATGGGGGAAAGTTTTGGCACATTCCTTCCACTCTGTGCGTAAGAACCGCGTGCGGGATGGCTGTCAATCTTCGAAATCTCCGTGTTGTTATGCGTTTCTATGCAGCGGTATATAGATTTGTGCATTACGGCATGCAGAGGATTTGAATGGACATGATAATAGACAATAGGTGTCCAATGGTATATACATCAATAGGGTGTACAATACATGTAGGTGGTTCAGAGACCGTTAGCTTTTGATGTCGACGTTCTAGAATGGGGGACTTGGAAACTCAACAAGCAAACGACATCTTTACAGCCTTTTTACATGAACGACATTAATTATTATGTCCCTGTTATAATTACGTGTACTTTTGTACTGTATGACTATTGGTGTCCATTAAACCGACGATGGTGTGCAGGCATAATTAATCTTTTTTATCTCACGTATTTTAATATGCAAAAACAGCTAACAATTGCCCAGTTTCATAAATTTAGTGATTGGAAGTATACACAGCTGCCAAAATTTAAGTGATGGCCAAAATTTCTGTGTAAGCACTGGCACGGATAGCTTTCTTCATGCGTGTATTTGTTGTATGTGTTTTATGTGTACAGGTGCAAGGTGTTGGTGTCCCTAACCCGTTCCGCATGCGGCCGCTGCTGGGAGCCAAGATACCACTCAACGCTACCTACTCTCCCCTCATTACAATGTACAATCCTTTCGAGACAACTCTTCAGGTATTGAAAATTTAGTACAGTTTTGGTCGCTTTCTATGAGTTAAGCTTAACTCTTTTGAATGCTCAAATCTGATTGGTCAAGTTGTTTTTCTCAAATCGCTTTTTTGAATGTTCAAATCTGATTGGTCAAGAAAAGGAATACAATGGCTCTTCTGAATGCTCGTTTTGTCTAGAACACATGTAGCAATGCCTAGCAATGCTATACATAGGGGTATATACATGACGGTAATATGATAGTTACTGTGTTGGTCACGGTGCATCTTGACAGAAGTGCAAGAACACTTGATGATGATGACATAGCATGTATAGTGCGGGTTGCGACTGCATATATACCACAAACTTGTGTTTCCTAGCAACGCACATGTATAAGAAGTGCTCGGCATAAAGACCCTAGCAACTGAAAGCGTCCTTGTGCATGCACATATGTACAACTCTGACATGTAGCGTGAATTGATTTCGCAATGCCCTTTTTAAGTTGTAACTTACCATAATTACAATGTGTGGGACATGTACTAATAGGTGACATATTGTACTACAGTACTTTGTATATGTCTTCGATAATCAGTGGACTTCGTTAGACCCTATCAAAAAGCAATGCAACTCCTATTACACCAACAGCTCAGTGTTGACATATACTAAATTACCACTAAGAGCCTTCAAATGGCAAGTCAATAGCATTTCAATGGACGCGGGCCTGGGAATGTGCCTCCGTTGCCAAAGAAACCCAATAATTCCTTTTATCCGGTCACCGAGTGTTCGGATGTGAGAGAATGTATTGGGTTTAGTGGTGTGTGGGTGTGTATAATACAATCGGAGGGGCTGTGTATACTTGTGTTTGTGTGTGTGTTTCCTTAAAAGGGAGAGATTCAAAAGTAGCTGCTAACCCTTTTGTGGTTGGAGGTGGTTTGGTAGCTTGCCAGTGAGGGTAATAGTTGTGGGGAGGAGGAGGAAGAGAGAGGGGAGAGGGGGGAGAGAGGGGGATACTGTATAGCTTAACCTGAGCCTTACCCACCCACTCTCCTTCCAGATAACAGAGATGTATTCCAGTGGAGGTGACCTCCATTTAGAACTGCTCTCCGGCCAACTGCAGGGCTCAAAATCTCTCTGGGTGAGGAAATATTGTCTATGTTGCAACAATATATGTGACCCGCTCTGGGAAAAGGTACCACTTGGCGCAAAAATTCAAAATTCAGAGCGGGTCACATATGTAATAGGGCCAGTTGTCTGTCTCTGTCCTGAGTATGATATATACATTGCAGGTGTGTCTGTGCGGAAGTAGGGGGGGGTGGCTTAAGCTTTCGTACTTTTAGTAAGAAAAAGGGGGAAAGAACAGACCAGCTGACCATCTCGAGAGCCTTGGCTATAGTTGGAGAGTGCAGTGCAAAAGGCGGGTACTCAATTGTTTGTGTACTTTGAATGAGCACATGGCTGTGCAAACTCTCTCAAATGTAACTATAAATCAGCCACAACCTAGGTGTACATATACGTACATATATATAGTAGGAAAGTTCCTTTGAGGGAGAGAACTTCGATGTGATAGTATCTGGTCTCGCAGTTCATTGACCAATATTACTATTACCCGTATTGTGAGTGCAGCAAGAAAAAGTATGATCTGTATGGTGTGTGTGTGTGCAGGAGATTCGACCGTACGAAACGAAGCCCATTGCCAGGGCCAACTTCTTCGGACGAGAAGCCGTCAACCACACCTCCTTCATTCGTGTCAAGACCAATCTCGGGGACACGCCCTCCATCGTTCTGCCCGTGGAGGTCGAAGTTTCCGAGACCAGCGGTCTCTATCTCTCCAGAGAACTCCTCGATTTTGGCATCCTCAAATCGGGCGGTGAGTGGTTCACTATATTTGGAGAAAAATTTACACAGTTTTTGTGTTGTAAAAATTTAATTGCAAAGGGGGTAAAATCTACAAGATAAGTTGATGTAGATTTGAAATTTCTTTCATTATGGCACAGGGTAAGGGGGTGGAAGAATAAGTAACTGACTCGATGTAGTTGTGTTCGTATTTTCTTGTCCGCAGAAACGAAATCCCTTCCTCTATTTGTACTGAACTCCAGCCCACACACCGTCCACATCAAGGTTTGTACATGTATCATATAATATATATACATACAGTAGATTATATTATACACATACATACAGTAGATTATATAATTTATATATACACACAGTAGATGTATGTGCACACATCACGCACACTATTTGTAGAGTGTTGTTTGTATTGTGAAGCGATGATATGAGTAGCAAATAGGAGTGAGAATACGAGTAATTACTACTACTTCACCTGAGCACTCGAAAACTTGTAATTTACTGGCTATTATTTAAGCGAGACTCTTTTCAACTTCTTGCTCTCTATACGTAATGCTCCTTCATGCCAACCGACAGTGTTCAATATTCTCCTAGTGTATGTAAACCCACACCAGTCAGAGGTTGGGGATCCTGTATGAGAAAGTATGGGGATTTAGATTAGGTAGAGGAGTGGGCATTAATTGGGAGTGCACGTATATTTCGCAGTCAATATCAGTGGTGCCGGAGAGTCCGTCCGTTGAAGTCGAACCAACCGTGACTTTCCTGAAACCGGGCCTCAAATACCTCAAGATTGCTTCAGTCACTCTTTCTCGTGAGTCCTACCTAGATAAATTACGTAATAGGCTTGCCACAAAGTGGTTTAGACATTTCCGTCGTGTATTGTACATACACATGTAAATGAGTACTTGTTTACTTGTACTGTACATGCATGTAGCCATGTAAAAGATTGCGTTTGCCTGTCTATACATGTTGTCTATCAGATAAAATGCCCTGTAATTTCGTAGACTGTCTGTCTGTCTGTCAGTTATCAATCCCCGTGGTGTGTAATCTGTGTATCTGTACTCCTGTAGCCAAGGCGGGGTCTCGGAAACAGCAGGAGTCCGGGCACTTGGAGATACTGGCAGAAGATGACCGCAGGATGGAGTACAGGCTCCACGTCCCCTATGACTCCACCATTCTTCATGGGTATGCAAGACTGGTAATAATAATACTCAGGTGGCTGCCATAGCACTAGGGCCATAGACCACGCACCCAGAGCAATGGGCGCAAGACTGGTAAAGTTTACTTTCTGCTCTCGCGTGTAAATTGCTTTTTTTTGGCGGGTGTTATTTTTTGGGAATTTTGGGAATTTTGGAGACATCAATGGCACTGAAGAAAGGGTCTTTGTTAGAAATGGGTCCTAATTTCAGGGTTTTCTTTAGAGGAGAGAGTGTTCAACTGTATACTGTTGTATGTAACTTTCCTTTCCCCCCAATTTTGGGGACACTACTGGGCACAGAAGAAAGTGTCTTTATTAGAGTGGTGTACATGCTTAAGTTATTTCATGGGTGTCCTTAGAGAGAGAGGTTCAACTGTATGCAGTATGTATGTAACTTTCCTTTCCCCCCAATTTTGGGGACACTATAATGGCACAGAAGAAAGTGTCTTTGTTAGAAATGTGTCCTAATTTCATGGGTGTCCTTAGAGAGAGAGGTTCAACTGTATGCAGTATGTATGTAACTTTCCTTTCCCCCCAATTTTGGGGACACTATAATGGCACAGAAGAAAGTGTCTTTATTAGAGTGGTGTACATGCTTATTTCATGGGTGTCCTTAGAGAGAGAGAGGTTCAACTGTATATGGTATGCAGGGTTCTCCCTGGGAAAAAAAGCAATGAGTGGAGGAAGCCCCTCTCGGCAGAGTAGCTGATTATCACCTTCAGGCAGAAGCTCCATTTTGTTTCACTTGTCCGCCTCACTGCTTCTGTAGAATAGCTTGTGATCTTCACACCATCTTTGCCATTATCTCACTTTCATTCATCGCGCACTAAGGAGAACCCTGATCAGTATATATGTAACTTTACTTTACTCTCCCTCCTCCTTCCACTTCAATCACAGCACTCTGGCCTTTGAGAGGTCCCAGACTATGTTCAGAGTCGGAAAGCCGCCGTTTGAGCCCCTGATTCGAAACATTTCTCTCGCCAATCGGTTCAGCGTTCCACTGGTCCTCTATGACATCCGTCTGTCTTCAAAGGCACAAGAATATTTCACTGTAAGCCGTGGAATCCCTGTACTTTGCATAATACTGTTACATACATACACCTGTAGCTTCCAAATAATACTGTTACATACACGTAGCAATTATAACAGATACGTGTACATGGGAGTGTTTGTGAATGGCTCATGAGTACACATATGCCTACTATATGTGTGGATGTTTCTACTTGTCATCACATGGTATTTTCTGCATGATATTGTACTAGTATATACTAAGCTAGATGTATGTACTTATAATGGGCATGCAGGTTTTGTCTCAAAGTGAAATCCCAGTACTGTGTGAACAATTTTGCACACAAAGTCAAGCCAAAAGTCAGTACTGTATTATTGGGGAATCCTGTCGTGCCAGATACATGTGTTCAAACCATTCGCTGTTAGGTTCAGCTGCCTCAACTGATGTGTGCGTATAGTTATTGTGATCAAAATTTCTTGTAGGTTTTGGATTTCCACGGACCGTTTACTCTACCGGCCACCTCCGACTGGCACCGACCGTTTGCCCTGCAGTTCCAGCCCACGTCCTCTGAATGTCTGTTCAACACAACACTCAGACTTTCGACGAATGCTTCTCTCTTCAACATTCCCTTCTATTGCTACGACGGGAGGGTCACGGTACGAAACACGAACTACAACCTACCTTATCATACACACACACTTGTTTGTGTGTGTTGTAAGTCGGTAGAAAAGTCTTATTGTGGGTGTAAGTCTTGCTACGACGGGAGGGTCACGGTACGAAACACGAACTACAACCTACCTTATCATACACACACACTTGTTTGTGTGTTGTAAGTATACTGCTACGGTAACGGGACGTACGTAGACAGACCGTCTAACCCTTCTAATCCAGACACCACCAATGGGACAGAAGAAAGTATAGAGTTGTCCTTATTTAATTACATGCAGTTCTTAGGGAAAGAAAAGGTGTCTTATCAATGGATGAGCTTCCTAACCCACACTTGTTTCATCTACATGGGTGAAGAAGCAGTATCAAAATCGCTTCCTCCTCCCTCCCTCTCTCTGACCTCTCCCCCCTTCCCCCACAGTATATGCTGAATTCTACAGAGAATCCGGGCAATGAAGACGTCTTAGACTACGGAGTATTGTCAGAATCAGACTCCGTCTCCAAACACTTTTTTCTCATCAACCCCAACCCAATACGAGTAAGTCGACCGACTAAACCAGTTCTACAGTCGTTTCTTAAACCTGTTTTGAACCTGTGTGCGACTGGATTGAAAACTGGTTTGACTTACCCTCCTCTCCTCTCACATGTCCTTTTCTCAAACCTATTTTGAACCTGTGTGACTGGTTCATTTGGCCTCACTCTCACTCCTTTCCAATCTCTATGCCGTTTTCAAACCTGTTTTGAATCAATGTGTAACTGGACTTAAAAACTGGTTTGACTTGGTCTCAGCTTGTTTTTATATCGACGTCTCTTCCAGATAACTATCGTTAGCTTCCTGGTCAGTGATTCTATTCCCTTCACGTCGGTCGAGCTACTCCAAATAAAGCCCGCCAACATGAGTGTGGAGGGAGCAGAAGACAGAATCCAGATCATCGGGAAGAAACAGGGAGCAAAAGGACCTGTGAGTACAGCAAAACCTCTGAAAACCTGTCTCAAAATAAAGGATGACTTCTGACACTTGGCTCTGCCCCATACAAATGATGAGCAAAGGACACCTTTGATGTACCCTACCTAGATGCCCTTTATTCAACATTTCTCTATACCTCAAATACATACCCATTCCCATTCCGTCATTTTCTCGTTCTGTCGTTCTCCAGTTCTACGTGGAGCCAGACATGGTGGCCTTGTTCCGTGTCAACATCACGTCTCCCAAGAAACTGGGAACTTTTACCGGGGAACTGGAAATTCACACTTCTTTTGATAGGGTACAATAATACTGTACTATAATACCAATTGTATACATACTGTATATGTATCCTTAATGTACATATGTATGTACATACTGTTTAAATGTCCACTTTCATATGGTGGCCATTACAATATTCCTCCGATGTGTATGATGTCACCGTATTACTAAGTACGGTGGTAGGGCATACGGTACCATATCACATTTTACACTTCATTTGGTGGTGGTATATTGGATATCCTACTCCTTACGTTACGTATAAATACCCTTTGATAGGGTTACTTGTAATAATTATACTCCTGTGCAGCCTCTGGCATAGAACTAATAGTAACTGCCGTAATTTGATAGGGTTTTTATTGCAGGGGTCAATTAATCGTTCTGTTATTTCATAAATCTCCGTAGGTTTTGAGAGTGCCGGTGTACTACAAGACTGCAGTCGGTAGCGTGAAGATAATTCCGGAAAGAAACGTATTTTCTCCTACCTTCCCTGTAAGTTTGTATGGGTGTTGTCTATCATTATTATTACAGTGTTTGTGTTGGGTCATTTGGTGGATAGTGTTATGTGGGTTTGGTCGGTACTAGCATATACTTGTGAGCAACCTACATGTCACTGTCAATATGCGGCTGAAGCAACATCGTATGCATTTATTTGTCTCTCTCTCTCTCTCTTCTCTCTCTCTTTCTCTCTCTCTCTCTTCTCTCTCTCTCTCTTCTCTCTCCTCTTCTCTCTCTCTCTCTCTCTCTCACACTCCCTAGTACGGACAGCAGAAGTTGCCGCTGCGTGCCCGAAGCTACTACCCACAGATACTGGACATTCGAGAGGTCCAATCTGACCCTCCCGACGAGAGATTCTACTTCATCACTGAGAGAACTCCTACCATCCCTCACCTCAAGCCACAGGCACTCACTGAGGTATGTATGTACGTATAGCTATGATGCCGACACTATATAACCAAGCCATATAGAGTACAGTCCAATCTGCAGGTACGTAATACTAACTTCAGTGGAATGCGTATAAAAGTCACCCCTAAAATGAGGACACCTCTAACAACACCCCTCTCCCCAAAAATAAGTGTTGCATGCATCTGTAACTCCTGAAATACGGCCACTTTACATATTTTGACACTTTCTTGTGTCTAGTTTGTTACGTTGTGTATGGGTCACTACATAAGGGCTACAAGAACTAAACTATAGGACCCAGTAAAACATATCTCCATTTTTAGTTAGTTTGCACTTTAACTGCCACATTCCCTTTAATATTCATTTTGCTAAACGTATATACTTCAACAGTTGGGAGCGCTGGTATTTGACCCACTCCACGGGGACGAGGAGTATGTCTACCTCGGTACTGGGGGTTCCTGGTCAGCGCCCGACTACGCCAACCAACTCGACGCCAAGTCAGACAGAAAGACCTTCAGCAAGTTGTGGGATACCTGGACCGCTCTGCTCGACGAGGGACTCACGCAGTAAGGCTTGTGGTGTGTGTATCAGTACTTGATTTTGGTCTGTACGAGTCACTCGCAGAGTAAAGGTTTAGCATTCTTCCTTCCACGATACACAGTGCAACTTTTCGCGTGAGACAAAGTTGCAAGCAACTTCAAAAACTAAATTTTTTAAAAAGAAAAAAGTATGAAGTTGCACGGTACATTTGAAGTTGCATGCAAGGTGAAGGTGGGAACAGTGTATAAAATAAAGGTTCTCTCATTGCATACATACTGTATATCATATATCTCTGTGTTTATGCCGCTATTAGATTCAACTTCAGTTTCATGATGTACACCGAGATAGATACTTCCGTTCCTATTCCGACGGAAGCTTCGCTGGTGTGGCCGTCGCTCGCTGCACGCAAAGAGATCCGTTTTTCACAGACAACCATTGGAAATTCATCAGTAAGCATGAAATCATTGTAATAACTTCCTCACTGCACATAACTTCCTGTTTTTGTGTCTCTCCTTAATTCCCTCTTCAACCCTATCTGCTTATCTCTGTCCCTCTCCCTTCCTCCTTCCCTCCTTTGCTGCTTACTCCCCACTTCTTCCTTCTCTCCTTTTTTGCCGTCTTTTACACTTTTCCTTTCCTCTCACTCTCTTTCACTTTCTCTCCAGACGAAAACTCTAAAGTTGACAAATCCCTCGCGTCACCCGGTGGTAGTTCAACCCATCCTTCTTCACTACTACCCACAACCCCACAGAATAACTCAACTGCTGTTCGAGACAGGTCTAATCGAAAACCTGAACTTCTCTCTCTCCGAATCTTCCTTTAGCCTCGACCCTGATTCATGGGGGTATGACCGATCATTGAAGACCCATACTCTTGCTCCGCACGTAGGGGGAAGAGGAGGAGGAGGAGGAGATAAAAAAAAGGGATATTGAACTGAGATTAAAGTTTCTAGCCCGCGAGAGTCTCCTCGCGAGTAGCCTGCTTCTTCTCCGGAACAACTTGACGGGACTCGAGTGCGTTCTTCTTCAGGGGAAGGGATTGGAGGGAAAGTTCAGTATTGACGGCATCCAGCCGGACACAGGAACTCCTCTCGTTTTCCAGCTCTCCTCTTCCGACCTCGAAGCCTGTTCAGGTACATACGTACATATGTATGCAATGGGTGAGTGTACATAATTATGTGTGGCACTTTACCAGCCCTGAGCGTGACTAAACTTTACTTCAATTTATTTTCTTGGCCCATCTCTTTCCGACTCTGACTTGTCTGGCAAATCTCACATGCATACACTTATGTTAAGAGGCTTCGTCATTGAGTAAGAGTGCCACACTGGACTGTATACACGTACCTAGAAATTGTGGTAGGGTGAAATTCATGCAGTTTTTGGTGCAGACTAACCAGTGTATTACGTTGCTATTGGGGAAGCATGTTGCCGCCATAGCGTGCTTACAACATTGACTTCATCGGTGCAAGTGATGTGTGTTACATTTCTCTACAGAAGGAACTATGCTTTCTCAGCCACTCAAACTCACCACCACGCTCCGAATGCACAACTCTGGACCAGGCACCATGCGAATCCGGCGTATTGGACTGGGACACGGTGGAATGTACGATTGGAATATGTTCAGTGTCCCCGAGTTGCGGGACGACATTGTGATCCATGCCAACAAGACCAAGAAACTGGAACTGTCGTACGTTTCTTCATCCATCCTTCGCCACCCTCTGGCCCTCTCTTTCTGATGCCTTTTTTAACTTATTTTTTTCTTGTAGACTGGGATCACAAAAAAATCATGATTTCAGCTGCACACGCCTGTTATACCGTAGGTCCCCTTTCAGAGAACACCGTTAATATTGTATGCATCTCAAAATTTGCTGCCAATGTTTGTCTGAGACACCCTGTTGTTGTTACTTGTTGCTATATATCTTCTTTCTCCCCAGATTTACCCCCGACTTCACCGTATCTCGTGTGGAAAGCACGCTGACGCTGCAGACAGCCGATGGCGGCGCCACGCTAACCTTCCCCGTGGTTGTCCTCCTCCCGCACAGTCATGCTGGCCGCCTGTTACAGCATCCAGCCACACTCAGAGTGGGAAGAAAGACTCGCCTATCTCATCGTACCCACTTGGCTCACCATACTGTTCTTTGTGGCTATGTTTGCTCTCATTCGGACAAACTTTGGGATGATATCTCCCAAGACTGATGCAGGATTGCCGGCCATGCAACCGACTGGCGGTGACTACTTTGATTTCAATGATCTGATGAAAGTGCTGCACAGCACACTTTCGGAAAAGTTGGACAGCATCAAGAAAGGGTGAGTGGACTTTTTTTACCCGATTATTACAAATGCCTCGTATAGACCTCTAAGAGCACAGTGCTGTATACAGTAGCTCATAAAGTTGATGAGTCCATTATAAGCTGATGCTACCGCAAAGGGTGAAGGGCTTCGCGTGCAGACTGCTGACCTAAAATATCATCTTGCGACGGGCTTCGGTAGGAGAGATTGGTTGTTTTTGGGGGCCAGACTAAAAGAATTTTATCATAAAGTTGATGATTTGTGGTTGAGGGAAGGGGTAAGGAAGGTCAGAAGATTGGTACATATGCATACGTACTTATACTAGCATATACCACATTATTGAGAAGCCTAGCGGTAAAGGGAGGTTTGATATGCTACTGGTGGTAGATTTTTTGTTTGAATTTTTTTTGACACAGAGTTGAATCGGCCCAGAAAGAGCAAGCTGCCCGGAAGCACCACGAGAGGCAATACAAACATCACAGAGAGCACCGCAGCAGTAGCACCTCCAGTTCTCACTCTCACCACAGTTCATGGTCTCCTTCCCATCATCACCAATCACCTTCCCAGGCACCTTCCTCCTCGTCTCCGTCATCTCCCGTCGCTCACAGTGCGACCGCTCGAGAACACGAAGAAGGGTTGTCGTCCTCCTCGGCTGGGCTGAGAAGGCGCACAAACTCCCAACCAGCGAGCTCCTCGAGAGGGGAGACGGTTGGACGAGCGAGTGACGGTAGCGGAGGGAATGTGAAAGAGACGAGGAAATTGGATTCGGGAGGATCGACGGCGACGGTTTCGTCGCCGGGACCGACGAAGAAACAGGAGAGGAACCGACACATGAGCGAACCGACAAAGAAAGCAACAGAGCAACCGTCCAGATCAGCTTCGAGTAGTTCTCACACCCAACCTACATCGCCATCATCAGCTTCCAAAGTCTCATCCTCTACCACCACCACCACCACCACCAGTGAAAAGACCCAGACACAGCACATGAACCTTTCAAAGTTAGAACTCGTCCAACCGGCCATGACCACAGATCAGGAGACAGGGATGAGAAAGTTAGTGGAGCAAACAGCTTCGAATGAAATGCCCCCAATTTCACCCCAACTTCAACAACAACAACACGAATCGCCTAAAGTGAAAAAACCTTTGAAAATTTCGGTAGCTACATCTTCCGAGACGTCGGTTTCTCTTCCGTCTACCCCCACAGAGGGAGGGTCGAGTGGTTCATCTTCTGCTTCATCCTCTTCTACTCCCACTCCAGTCCCGCAGAGGAAAGGCAAGGGAGTGAGGAAGTCGGGAGGCGGCAAATCCCAGAAAACAACTTCAGTTTTGGTGACGACCTCAAAACCGGTGTCGTCTCAGACAACACCGACACCTACCGAACCGGTATCGGCTCCTGTGACTGTGGTCCCCCCGGGGGAGACCGTACAAGACCAGCTAGAGAGAAAAGAGTCCGACGGGAGCCTAGGATCGACAGACAGTGAATCAACATCATCGTCCAACTCGGACAAATCAGAAAAAGACGAGACGAATGTCGGCAAAACTGATGTTGAACCGGACCCTCCGTTGGCCAAGGACCAAGGAACGGGACAGACAATCCCTCTTCTACTTGCCCAGGAGGAGTTTTTGCTATCCAAATGTAAGCCGTCACCCGATGATGAGTCTCCAACTTCCCCCACAGAGGGTGGAAGCGGGAATAGAGAAGACGGGGCAGAGAGGGACGGAGGAGAAGGCGAGGTACAGCAACGGGAGAAAGAAACCGAGAAGAAAGAGAAACTTCCGTTGCTTCCAACACCGCGGGCCGTTGGCCGGAGCAAGAAAAAGCTGAGACAGCAACAAAAGAAGGAGGAAAAGCTGCGCAGGAGAGAGCGGGAGAGAGAGAGGCAGAAGGACGTGGAAGAGAAGAAGAAAGAGAACGTGCACACACCCCCCGAAGTTCAAGAGAGGCCTCATTCACTGGCTCACTCTCTGAGTCTTGATGATGGAGAAGGACCACAAGCTATAGAGTCGCCGACTAAAAACAAGAAAACAGTTGCCACCTCACCAAAGAAAGCCAAGAGACTTGAAACCAAGACGGCGGCCACAAAAGCAGACAAGTCTCCCGGTCGTTCGAGAACAGCTCCTGCAAAGGTCACTATACCTTCTCGTCCTCCCACTTCTCCCCCTTCTTCTGCCTCCTCCCCTTCGCCTCCCGCACACCCCACAACCAGATCCCTATCGAAAGAAGATGCTGAAGACAGTGACGAGAGTCACGAATCAGACCGACTCTCACACACGTGGGCCGGACACGAGCTGGAAGACATGAAGGATAGTCCCGAACCCTCCAGCCCACACATCCAGTCAGAACCAGCCAAATCGTACTCCCGAGAAAACTCTGAAGACGGCACCGATCGTCAGTCAGACGGAGCTCACCTGTCGTCATCTTCATCCCATCCAATGGAGGCCATCCCAATATCTGCACTGCGTGCCATGAGAGCAAAGGGGGCCAAACAGACCAGAGCAGAAGAAGAGGGTGGTGGAGGAACGATGCGTCCGCTGCCGACCGTCGTGAAGAAGTCGGGAATGAGCAGAAAGGCTAAAGACGTCGAGAAGCTTCCACCACGGATGGCGCGACTCACGGAAAAGACAGCTATGATGCCGCCTGCTGTACCCCCACAAACCGAGCTTAAACCATCCCCGCATAAAAAGAAATCGATCCCCAAAATCATTGCTGATGATGATGTTTCCACCGAGGGCACCCCGGCTTTGGAACCCGCCAACAGCGAGCAGCTACTCCTGGGAAAATTGAAGTCGTCTCACATGCCTCCAACGTCTCCACACGAGATTGCCACAACTCTGCTCAAGAAGCGCAAGGGAAAAGGTGAGGGCAGAGGCCGAGGAGGGAGCGGGAGGGGTGGAAATAGTGATCCACACAACGACCACGAGGGAAGTGACGAAGGAGATGAAGGAAAGCTTCAGACGCTCGACGAAGAAGAAGAAGAGGAAGAAGAGGGAGAGAATCTTTCGGGGAAGGTCCTCTGGGCGGGTGACAGCGAGACGTCGCCGCACAAACGCCAAATGAGGCATCTCCACTACAAGACTGCTCCCACAACACTCTCTCTCGACGCAGAGCCGTTCTACCCTTCCTCGGACTACCCCAGGGGTAAACACGCTCGGAGTCACCCCCACCCCCACGTCCATACAGACACTCCTTATGCACCACCTGGCAGCAGGAGACAGCTCAACTCCTCCCCGTCAGCGTTTACTTCACCCGAGGAAATCCCCCGCAGTTTCGAGAGGAATTATCGCGTGAGAGAAATACTGCCGCCTCAGCACCTCTCTCTGCATGCGCAGCACCTGCGTCATCACGGGAACACGCTCACCCCCTCCCCACCTCCCTCCTCGTTCCCTCTTCATTCAGAACATCCTCCGCCCTACTACCACGAAGGGAGGCACGGTGGCGGAATTGATTCGAGTGACTTCCCCCGTCATTCCCGCGGACCCCCACCGGATATGTCCGCGTACGAAATCTCTCCTGAGGAATACTATTCGCCCGCGCCAACTCCAACTCGACGCGTGTCTGAAGGGGTGCCTCATGGCCAGCGTTCGAGTCGCATGGTGCGAAGCAGTATGCTATATGACGAACCGCTCTACCCGGGATCTCTCCGTCCTCACTCTCATCATCACAACCACCCGCAGCACACTGCAGCCTACGAAGCCGCGGCGGCGGTTCACCAACACCGCAGAGAGCGCGCTCAGATGATGTCTCGCAGATCCCCAAATCCCCTCTGGGACCAACATAGTCCCTACCCCTATACACCCCAGGAAGAAGAAATGGCTCAAATCGTACGAATGAGGCAACACATAGGCTTGCGAAACTCATCGCACGACAGTGTTCCGTAGATGCTCTCTCTCCACTTGGGCACCAGCTTCCCCCACACCCCCGCCCAGCCCGGAGTACCCTCTACTCCGCTGATACCCCAACCTCGAACCTGTGGGACCCTGCCTATTTGGACTCCGGGGCCTACGCTCATCAGGGCGACGACGCATTCCTGAGCGACTTCCACCAACCGAGACATCACCAACGGCAACCTCAGCCACAGGAACATGCCGTGGGCGGAGTCCCGTTGCAGCAACTGCGACGACGTCGCTACAGCAGCGACAATGAGCTGGGAGGAGAGCTGGTTCCAGATCTTCTCCAAACACCGTCTTCTCCAAGCCACGTGTCTTCCTCAGGGCTAAACAAGGCTCCCGGGGCGGCCTTCTCGGGGATGGTAGGGAGCCAGGAGAGTTACTGCTCGGGAGCAGGAGCTCTGGGCTGACAATCTTGAGGTAAAGGCCTATATTTGTAGTACCTCACTCTTGTATTCCTTATTCTTAGCTTTATAAAAGTGAGCCTACCTAGTCTTATGGATTGCGCGGCATTTCCACTTTCCATGTATCCAATCAACTGTGTGTGTGAACATCACATAGAGCGTGTTAAAGGTCGCATTCAATCGCCAAAAAAAATTGCATTCGCTCCAGTATTAATTTACTAAAACCATGTAAAGCCACTAGATGACAAATTACTTTCTCTCTCCAGAAGAAACCAATGGAGCCTTCCTCGGCACTCACCAGTATCTGGTCGTCGTCGGAGCGGGCATCGAATCTCGTGTTCCATACCAACGAACCGGTCACCACACCCGGCGAGCGACTCTCGGCCGTCGGTAGCGGCAGAAACCAGTCGTCGTTTCTGGAAAACACGTACGACCTGTTTCAAGACAAGAGTATCTGGGGAGCAGCGAGTACAGAGACTCCCTCGGCCAACGTTCTCCCCTGGGCACAGCTCAAATCCACAGATCTGCCCCCGGATTGAGATCTGAATTATACTTTTGATTCTCACAACGAAAGACGTGATGGTATAATATACACTTGCAGAAAAGAATCTTTGGACTTCCTCGCAACGGATTTTTGATTTCGGTTTTCGGAAAATGATTTGGAGTTTCACGCACCCTCTCTAGTTGTTATGTAGTCGGATAGCATCATTATCACCCAACGATATAATGGCAAGAAATTAGCAACACAACAACTGAACTACTAGCCCTGAACTATTAGTTTAGTTCATAGCAGTGGACATGCACACACACAGACGTGGCTTGATGCCACGGAACACAAGTGATCACACGGTGTGATATCTCGGTGATTCGAGTGACACACTACACTGCGTGATTTGAAACTTGTGTGATTTTGCGTGTGATTTGTGATGAAATTGGCAAAAAAAGAACGGCTGCGCCTTGCGGTGTTGCATGTGTGTTTTATACACTTTCACTTGCATTTTAAAGGGAATAGTCAAACAATTGAATTGAACAAGTCAATGGCAATGGTGGTTGGAATTGGTGTGATTTGCAGTGGTGATTGGTCCTATTTGTCAACAGTGGTTGTAGTAGTAGTTAGTGATTGGTTAGTTTTTGGCTCGATTGTGGTAGCAGTGGTTGATGATGATGGTCCTCAGTGGTCATGATTGGCTCGCCAGTGGTAGTAGTGGCAGTAGTTTGGTCGTCAATGGTCATGAGGAGTGGCTCAACAATGGTGGTGGTAGTTGACGATTGATCCTCATTGGTCGTGATTGGCTCGCCAGTGGTAGTAGTGGCAGTATGGTCCTCAATGGTCATGAAGAGTGGCTCAACAGTGGTAGTAGTTGATGATTGATCCTCATTTGTCATGATTGGCTCGCCAGTGGTAGTAGTGGCAGTAGTTTGGTCCTCAGTAGTAGTGATTGGGTCGCCAGTGGTAGTAGTGGCAGTATGGTCCTCAATGGTCATGAGGAGTGGTCACAGTGTATAGTATGATTATCCTATTTTATGATGGTCGCCAGTGTAGTAGTGGCAGTAGTTTGGTCCTCAGTAGTAGTGATTGGGTCGCCAGTGGTAGTAGTGGCAGAGTGTGGTCCTCATGGTCAGTAGGAGTGGCTCGCCAGTGGTAGTAGTGGCAGTGGTTTGGTCCTCAGTGGTCATGATTGGCTCGCCAGTGGTAGTAGTGGCAGTAGTTTGGTTCTCTGATGTGGTAGCGCCTCTCTTCATGGAACAAGCTGTCTTGTATGGAGGATTGATGGGAGCCTGAGTTGGCTTCAGTGGAGTGTACCTGTCTTCCTCTCCCGATACCTCGTGAAAGAAATGAACAATAAGCACAATAATAAGTTAGTCGCCTTCTATAACAGAGATTTATATAGTGGCTGGTTGATTATGAAAAAAGTACATCATAACCAGTTATAATAATCACTATGAGCTAATTACAAGGATTTTCACTGGATATCAATGCTAGAATGCTATATACCTGTACGGGGTAGGTCATGTCAGAGTCAAATCCACTCAAGTCTCCACACGCAACAAACGGAGCAATAATTCTGCTCATTCCCACTTCACTGTTGGTTGTGGGATCTACACACAACAGTATAGCAAAATGCATTTCAGTATAGCAAACCGTGAACAGAATTACCTTTGCTAAAATTAAAGCATTCACTCCAAGTAATGACAGGTCGGTATACTTAATTCCTAAACAAGTAGTTGACTAAGCTTATATAGCGTTCAAAGATTATTCAAGGACAGGTTAGTATACTGCTTATTCTGACCTACGTACCGTACTTGTAGTCCAGTAGTGGTTTAGCCATGCTAGGGACATAGCCAGCCGGAGGCTTAAATCTCTTGCACACCACAAATGCCTCTGCAGCAAGAAAGGTAAAGGAAAATCACACACGTAACGTGAACCCCCCTAATCTGAA